AGAGAAAACACCAACTACAAGTGTCATAGTTCCTCCATCAAATAAATCACCTCAAGTTGATTTATCACCAAACGTCGAACTTCCAATAAACACAATAATCATGATCACAATCATATCGACCAATGATCAATTGAATCCAACTGAGGTATGTAAACCTTAATACTCTTTTTGTCCATTAAGATCGCATTATATATTAGTTCTTCTCATTAGTGCCTTGTGACGGGTAAGAGATAGAAAGAGAATGTAGAAGAAGACAACGATCAATATCAACTCGGACAATGTTGAATGAGCTCTAGTGCAAAAACAAACTTTTTCCATTGTCATACTCAAGTAGACTGATATACCGATTTTTGACGTTTTTTCAACTAAAATAGCGAATTTCAGTCGATTTTTATGTGCTTTTTTCGATTAGTTCAAAAAACGCACAAAAAGTCATATTTTAGTTGATTTTTTTCTACTCTTTTTGTTCGTTTTTCTGTCGAATTGCGTCAGATTTATACAGAAAAGCGGTTAAAAAGTTATTTGAATCAAAAATTGCCTATTGTCACTCAAAAAGTTGAATTTTTGGGTGTAAGTGATATAGAATTTTTATCCAAATTTTTTCTGAACAAAGTTTTTTCACGTGTACAGACAACCAACTGTTTTCTTATGTCGGTCATTAGTTATGTTTTACTCAATCAGTCTCTTTCTGATTGATTATGGTTTTTTTCTTTCTTGAACATATGCATTGAATGAATGAATGGAAAATACTAAATTTGTCTTGAAAAGAACATGGATACTCGTGTTGGTCATGAAAAATATACGAAAATATCTTTTTGGTTATGTGCTTTCAGTTGTATTTGAAAGAAAAAGTGTACACTTTTTTTCGTGTTCTATTTTTGAAAATACTTTTAGTAACAGATGGGTGTGGGTGCGAATTGGAGTGTAGAAATGCCGTTTACCCACAGCTCACACCAATACCCACACTCACCATATAGCTGATGTATTCCTAAGAATATAGACACCGACGTTCTTCTTTTATATGCATGCATTTTTCAGTAGCTGTTCACTTTAATAACGTCCTCTCACCCATATTCTCACAAAAAGGAAGAGAGTGTAATTAAAGTGATAAGCTACCCGTTTTTTAATCAATAAAATATCTGAAAGGATACACACTTTTCTACTTTAATTATATCGATTGATAACCTATAAAACATGACCGATAACAATGTGCGTGATCCATTCAAGTTTAATAAAACTCTGAATTATCGGATGAAAACTCTACTAAAAATCAAGCTAATTTTTTTATTCAAAAGCTATTATGCGCAGTATCTGAACGTCAATTGTTTTCTATATACATGAATCACTACCTTATAGAGGATGCTAGTATTATACATAAATTAGAAATATTTTATGATCAGAAATCGGTCCAAATATGGTTAGAAAAAAATTCAACTTGATTTTTCTGTGAAGTTTCATTCAACTCTTTTCCCTTTATCGCATTCAAAATTGTTATCATTGATATCAGACTACGGACTACTACTAATGATGTGATCCTAAGAATTATACAATGATGGATCTTGTCATATACAAAACTTTCATTAGGTAAATTTATAGTAGAAAAATCTCGTTTAGTTTATTTTATATTCCTAATTTAAGTTAGTTATTGAATCAGACTCGTCTGTTTTAAAGAAGATAGTGAGACTATTTTTTTTTTTTTGTTATTTTCTTTTAATCTGTGTATCGTGCATGTTTTCTAGGCTATTAACGACAAAATATACTTTGTGTGA